TAAATAGGCTTTCTTGCCTGCCTATTTACATCATCTTCTTTATTAAATACTTCAGTAGTTTCTTTTGATAAGGTGGTAGCTGCTTTGATATTAATTGTAGAAGACAAAGAATTTAAAAAAGTGATTGCAAAAAAAGTGAATCAAAGATTGAAACTGGTTGAAAGTCAAGATTAAATTTTTTTGCTAAAAATTTTCAGTTGCTAGGTAAGCAGTATCATTAAAATATTTAACAATTTGTAAATAAGTAGATTTTTGATTTTTGATCACATCAAAATAGATAATAATTTGGATGAGAAATTTGGTATCAATAATGTTTTTTGTAAGAAGATTAATTGCTTCCTCTTTAGAAAGAGACTGTATATTGTAATTTTCAGTAGTGGTTTGATAGTATAAGGAGAGATAATAATAAAAGTAGTAATTATAATGTTTTGGATTAGGTTTAACTTTATTTTGTATGTATATAAAGTTTTCAACTTGGTCAGCTAATTTGTTCAAGGCTTTGATAGGGATAGGTTAATCGAATAAGGTAACATGTTCTTTGTTTTTGTAAAATAATGTAGTATTAAGAGTTGGGTAAATCCATACTTTATCATCTTGAGGGGAAAATAATAAGTAAGATTTGTTTAGAATATCATTGAAGAGCTTGGTGCTGTCATAAAGTTTTTTATTATCAAGATATTCACATGACTTGTTTTCACAAGTAAGACAATGAAAATTAGCAACTTAAGATGCTTCTTTATATCATTCATGAAGCAAGTTAGGTTTTTAAAATATATAGGATTTAGAAAGGTGTTTAGATAATTTGAAAATAAAATGTTGTCGAAATTAGATTCTAAGGATAGTGCAAACTTTCTCTTTATTAATATTGAAAGAAAATTGTTAACTATAAGATGGAAAGTAAGTTTCAAACTATAAGTTAAAATGATTAAGAGAGTTTTTAAGTGAAGGGATGCAAATCTTTCAAAAAAAAGTGTTTTAAGAATATTAAAAAGAAGTTTAATATTAAATTTAGTATCTGATTAAATAGTAAGATATTTTTGTTAAAAGTTAGTAGTTTGAGTAAAAGATTCAATTTTGAATCTTTTAGGTCTAAGCTTTAAGTTTTTAGCAAATTTTTGATAGTTAATTGATTAGTAATTATTAGATAAGAAGAGATGAAGTCATACAAGATTAAAACAAAGTTGGAGATAATTGTGGGCAGTATATAGGAGAATAGTAACAGGTGAAGCAAAAATTTCAAGGTAGTTAAGTTTGATGAAAAGAATAGTTATGAATTTGAGAATAAAATTTTTAAAGATGAATTCAAGAAGGTCAAAGGGAATAATAGTGCTTTTGTCAATTTTGGGGTTACTATTATAGATAAGATCAGTTAAGAATTCAGACTGTTGCCTAGCTATTATATGGATAATATAATAGAATAAAGCTTTAAGTACTGATTGAATAGCAGTAGCTAGCTTAATTTTCTTACTAGGATAAAAGTTATAAAGGAATTTTTTGAGAAAAGTAAAGAGTTAAAGACAGAATGGAGTTTGTACTTTTTTATTAGGTTGCATTTCTTTACTAATAGGAAAATTTGTAACCCAGTTATATGTAGAATTAAATTTTGGCTTGATAATACTAAAATAGGATTGAGAAAAAGGTTTGTTTGAAGTATTGTTAGATTGATTAGAATTGTTAATATTGTTAGAATTTGAGTTAGAGTTATTGAGAATAGCAAGAATTGAAGGTTAATTGGAAACAGTATTGATATTAGTAGTTATAGAAAAGAAAGAGTCAATAAGGTCAAAGACAGTTTGAGAAGTTTGGTAAAAAGAGGCAATAGAAGGGTTACTAGTTTGAAAAGATTCAGTTAGAATATTTTGAAATGTTTGTATAAGATTTTTCTTGGTCTGAGATAAGCTAGCTTCATGTTGAGAAGAAGTAGTTATACAAGCAAGATAGTAATTTTTATTATTTTTTATACTAAGGTAAGCATGCCTAATTTGACGCAGTTAATTTTACCAATAGGAAGTCTTTATAAATTTGATATAAAAATATACCAGTTTTTAAGCCACTTTAATAGATTACATTCTAAAATAAACTTTATTTATATAAAAAAAATTGTATTTAAGAAAAAAGAATGAAAATCTATTCTAAATATGTATTCATATGAAAACCGGGATCATCAAGAGACTATCCATAAATTGACGCACTATCAAAATTAAATTTTTTTTTTCTTTGTGCCTTTAGTATGTTGTTTTTCAGCCTTTAACCGTTCTTTTTCTTCTTTTTTTTGTCTTTGCGCTTCTTGTTTTTGTGCTTTTTCAGCATCACGTGCAAGTCTTTTTTGAATAGCTGCCTCTTTTTTATGTCATTTCTCATTGGCTACTCTTTCGGCCTTCTCTTCCGCTTCCCTCAACTCTTGCAAAGATTTTTCGTTTGTAAGAAGTTGAGAAAAAGGCATGGTTTTTCTTTTTTTCCTTTTTGGTAGCAGAGAGCCGAGTTCCTCTTCACCAGCCTCCGGATCTTCAACCGGCTGTGAATTATGACGCAAAGGATACTTAAGCACAAGCCGCAAAGGGATTGTACCAGGATTTTTGTAGGTTTCAAGTTCTTCATCCAAATATTCAACCCTTTTATTTAATATTTCAATCTCTGACATTAATTTTTTTTTTGTAGGAATTTTTCTTGTAAGATGCGTTTGACTTGAGATCAACCTTGAAGAAGATGAAGGTGAGGACGAAGAAAATGAAGAAGCTGAAGAAAAGGAGGAAGAAGAAGCCGAAGAAAAGGAGGACGAAGAAGCTGAAGAAAAGGAAGCCGATAAAGATAATGAAGACGAGTAAGATGGTGAGGATGAAGAAGATAGTGAAGATGAAGGTGGCAACTCAAGGGCTTGTGGAATATCGATTCATTCCATTGTTAATGAGGGCTCTAAATGGTCTGGACTAATAGCGTTGGGGTTGAATGGCCAAATCCCCATAGCCCTGAAAGCATTGCATATTGCAGTAGGTGTATATGTTGTAATATAGGATGACCCTAAAATTTCAGCAAACATATACTTTGTCACAAGCTGACCATTTTTATTAAATTGAAACATATTACATTCTTTATTATAGGTTTTTTTTAAGGTAGCAAATGGTAATTCTGCTGGTTGTAAAATGTGAGTAGTGTGAGGGGGAAGTGTGTAAAGAAGAATATTGTTCTCATAACAAAAGTTAATGCTGATGTAATTAACGTGGCTCTTATGGCCATCTAAAATTAATAAAATGGGATGTGCAGAGGGGATAGAACTAACAAAATGTTCAATGTATTTTTGAAATAGGCTCTCCCACATATACCCCGTCTCAGTAAATCCCATGACAGAGCCAGCAGGAGCGCCACGTAGAAGGCCTGGAATTGTTTGGTTTCTCTTGAAGATGAAGAGTGGTAGGATGTATGTTCCAGCAGCTGAAATAGTTGGGCATAAGGAAATATGTTTATGAGAGCTGCCATATGAAACCTGATGGACTTGACGTGCGCTCTTTTTCACTAAGACCTTTTGAAGTCTGGGTTCAATAACAAAACCTGTTTCGTCCTAAGGAGAAAAAAAAAAATTAAAGAAAAAAAAAAAAAAAAAAAAAAAAAAAAACCATGTTCCAAATTTGGTCAGCAGTAAGCGAATATTCATGGATGTTTTTTTGAAGTTTGTCAAAATGGTCTTTGACGATAATAGGATTTGCTTTTTGGGCACGTGCTTCATTCAGGGCTTGTAAGATGCGAAATGAAAGCTCAGGGTGGTCATTCATGAAGCACTTCCACCACTTTTGCCCTAGCCCATTCTCACCAAAAGGATAAGGTCGCCTGTTTCTACGAACGATATCCATAACGTATTGGTTTACACCAGATTTAGTTAACCCAAAGCCAAGTCTCTGCATGGCCAAGCAGTAACTGACAAGCTGTTCCTCCTCATGATCAGTTAGAATTTTAGCACGGCCTGGACGAGTGAGGGGACCATTGTTTTTTATCGCACGCCTAAGGGTGGCTTTCGAAAGACCATAATCCTGCGCGATACTTCTGGTGCTTGGAGTTTTAGAATCATTTTTAGGGGTTTTAATTGCCTTAAGGGCATTGTTAATTGCA